TCCGCCAAACACAATAACCACCATAGCCTTTCTGTAATCTCTACAGCTCTCCCACAAATACCATTGACCACAACATGACAGAACCAGTCAAACCCAAAAACAATAAATCAGATGAGAATCTCATGGAGCTCTCAGACCCATACATCATTCATCACTCAGATCACACTGGACTTGTCCTGGTTTCCAAAACTCTTGATGGAAACAACTACGGGCAATGGAGCCGTGCCATGCGCATGGGTCTCAGCGCAAAGAACAAGATTGGGTTCATTGATGGAACCATCAAGGCTCCCTCATCACTGGACGCAAATTATGCGGCCTGGAAAAGATGCAATGACATGGTTACATTATGGATTGTGAATTCAGTCCACTCAGACATAGCCGGCAGCATCATGTACACCGAAACTGCTGCTGCAGTTTGGAGCGACCTCAGAGACAGATTCTCACAGAGTAGTGACTCGAGGATCTACCAGATTCGACAAGAAATTGTTGAAAATCATCAAGGGCAGCTCTCTGTTTCTGCCTATTACACAAAGATGAAGGCCTTATGGGATGAGTTAGCGTCATATCATGATCCATTAGATTGCACTTGCACAGGTTTGAGAGGACTTGCTGAACGGGAAGAGAAAGAGAGAGTTATGCAGTTTCTGATGGGATTGAACGAATCCTATGCAACTGTACGAGGCTCGATTCTGATGATGAGTCCACTACCTGATACACGCAGAGTCCATGGCCTTATTCTTCAACATGAACGGCAGATGGATGTGGCTAGTCGTCGCGATATGGGGACATCCTCGCATACGATGCAAGTCCAGCGCACTTATGCATCATCCTCATCCAATAGCAAGACCTCCAATACATTTTCACGTAAGTCACTCAAATGCACTTACTGTGATGGAGATGGACACTTGGTGGATCGTTGCTATTACATCATTGGGTTCCCAGAAGGACACAAATGGCATGGAAAAAATGTGAAGCCCAAGAATAAGAGAGGAGCAGCCAACAATGCCGAGGCTATCACCCCTACCACAACCACCAAGACCAATGCTTCTGATGGTCCTACATTCACTACCGAGCAGTATAATCAAATCATCGCCATGCTTCATAACGGTAATGGACAGCCACTTGCCAATGCAACAGGTATTTTCTTGCCTAAATGCAATATAGCACAAACAGATCCACATTCGAATCTATGTTGGATTGTTGATAGCGGAGCCACTGATCATATTTCTCATTCGCCACCAACACACAACATCATGGATGCTCAGCATGACTATGTTGGTTTACCGAATGGGGGGCAAGCAGAAATAAAAAGGATTGGTTCAATGAAATTGTCACATGAGTTATCTCTTGATAAAGTTCTTTATGTACCAAAGTTCCGCGTCAATTTATTGTCTGTTAGTAAATTGACAAGAGCTTTGCGCTGTATAGTGACGTTCTATCCTGATTTTTGTGTTGTGCAGGACATGGATACGAAGAGGATGATTGGCCTGGGCAAGCATTTTGATGGGCTCTACTACCTCACCCCGACACAAAATCCTCACCTTGCCAACCACATTTCCCACACCACAAGTCTATGGCATCGGCGCCTTGGGCACCCATCATCCGCACCTTTACATTCCTTAGCCAAAACTAATGCTGAAATAATGTTTGATTCCAAACACATTTGTGAAGTTTGCCCTTTAGCAAAGCAAACCCGTTTACCTTTTCCTACTAGTGAAATAAAATCTTCCGCACCTTTTGATTTAATTCATTGTGATATTTGGGGTCCTCACAAACATCAAACACACTATGGGGCACGATATTTTCTCACTATTGTGGATGATTTTACACGTTTTACTTGGGTACATATTATGCATTTCAAATCCGACACACAACCATTACTAAAATCCTTTTTCTCTTGGGTCAAAACCCAATTTCATCATAACATTAAAGCTCTTCGTGCGGATAATGGGAGTGAATTTCTTTCCATGCGTTCTTACCTAGACTCATGTGGAACCTCCTTCCAACATTCTTGTTCTTACACACCACAACAAAATGGGGTAGTCGAACGTAAACATAGGCATCTTTTAAATGTTGGTCGTGCTCTTAGATTTCAAGCCAACTTACCTTTAAAATTTTGGGGGGAAAGTATCCAAACCGCTTGTTATCTCATCAATCGTCTACCTACACCCTTGCTCTCTCATAAGTCTCCATATGAACTTTTGCATCATACACCACCTACTTATTCCCACTTACGAGTTTTTGGGTGCCTTAGTTATGCCACCAACCTCACACCCATCACTAAGTTTGACGCCCGTGCTCGTCGTTGTGTTTTCCTTGGTTATCCACTTGGTCAAAAGGGTTATCAGGTATATGATCTTCTCACCCATAAAATATTCACCTCCCGTGATGTCATCTTTCATGAACATATATTCCCTTACACCACCTCACCAACCCTTGACCAAAATGACCTGCCTATTACTCCCCTTATCCATCCACCTCATGACATGATCCACGGCACAAATAACCATATTACCACCACCTCCCATCCCACGGTCCACACGCCTATCTCACCATCCCCTCCACCTTTGTCAAATCTCCCCCCTACCAACCTCGAGACTACCTCCACTTCTCCCTCACCCATTATCTCTGCCACCCACGAATCTTCCCCATCATACTTCAACCTTCCCGCGTTACCTACCACCACCGACGATCACCCACCATCTGACCCCGTCTCTCCTCGCCTCTCCCTTCCAGTGTCTCTCCAACCACCTCCACCCCGTCACTCTACTCGCCCCACCAAACCACCGGCTCACTTCAAAGATTATGTGGCTCATCATTCCACCTTGCTCACACCAACCGAGTCCCTCTCGCGGTCCATGTCCAGCACGCGCTATCCGCTACATCGGTATGTTTCCTATTCTTGCTTATCTCCCGTGTATCAACGGTTTGTTTCTCACATTTCCCACTTGGTGGAGCCTGCTACCTATGAACAGGCTTGTCAAAATCCCCACTGGGTTGCAGCCATGCAGGCCGAACTCACAGCTCTAGACGACAACAAAACATGGAGTCTCGTTCCTCTTCCGTCCGGCCACCGTCCTATCGGATGCAAATGGGTTTTCAAACTCAAGTACCACTCCGACGGCACTCTTGATCGCTACAAAGCGCGTCTCGTTGCCCAAGGCTTCACCCAACGTGAAGGTATCGACTACAAGGAAACTTTTTCCCCGGTTGCCAAACTCATCACAGTGCGTTGCTTACTGACCATCGCTGCTGTCCGGCATTGGCCATTACATCAAATGGACGTCCAAAACGCCTTCCTTCATGGCGAACTTCAGGAGGAAGTATACATGTTGCCTCCTCCGGGGTGTCGTCGACAGGGGGAGAACATTGTGTGTCGACTCCACAAATCTTTATATGGTCTTAAACAGGCGTCCAGAAGTTGGTTTCGAGAATTTTCTTCGGCTATCAGTGACATCGGTTTCTGCCAATCTAAGGCAGATTACTCTCTGTTCACCCAAGTCAAGGGTACTTCACTCACTATTGTATTGTTGTATGTTGATGATATGGTGATTACAGGCAACGACGAGACAGAGATCAAGAACCTAAAGACTTTCCTTAGCAGTCGATTTCGAATTAAAGACCTTGGATCTCTAAAATATTTCCTTGGAGTCGAGGTTGCACGTTCGAAAGCCGGAGTCACAATTTGTCAACGGAAATATACACTGGACATACTGGAGGAGGCTGGGTTACTTGGTGCTAAACCCATGAAAGTTCCAATGGAGGCTGATTTAGTGCTAACACCCACAGGAAGCACTTCACTTCATGAACCTGCGAGGTATAGGCGCTTAATTGGCAAGTTGATTTATTTGACCATCACAAGACCGGAAATAGCATACACTGTCAACACCTTGAGTCAGTTTATGCAAGATCCGCAACGACACCACCTTGATGCAGCATATCGACTCCTTCGATATCTTAAAGGAGCTCCTGGGCAAGGTTTGATGTTTTCTTCCCGAAGTGAATTATCTTTAACTGGTTATTGCGACGCAGATTGGGCTCGTTGCCCCATTTCACGCCGGTCAGTGACTGGTTATTGTATTTTTCTTGGAAAATCACTGGTTTCTTGGAAAAGCAAGAAACAAGTTACAGTAGCTCGTTCATCCGCGGAAGCGGAGTATCGGTCCATGGCTACTGCCACTTGTGAATTAAGTTGGTTGAGGTATTTATTGGAAGATTTACATGTTAACCATCCTCAGCCAGCAAGATTGTTTTGTGACAATCAAGCCGCTTTGCACATAGCTGCAAATCCGGTGTATCACGAACGTACAAAGCATATCGAGATTGATTGCCACACAGTCCGTGAGCGAGTTCAAAAAGGAGAAATCAAAACTTCTTATGTCAAGACGGGGGAGCAAGTCGCAGACTTATTTACTAAGCCATTACGTGCACCCATCTTCCATGCACATTTGGGCAAGTTGGGTGTGATTGACATTCACACTCCAACTTGAGGGGGAGTGTTAAAGGAAAGTATTGGAAGACAGCACAGCAAGCATTTGGACAGAAGGAATATTGCAGCAGACTAGCACATGGTGTCAGCTCATGTGCTCTGATGTGTTGCAGCATGGGCAGTTAGCACAGAAGAAATATTGCAGCATGGGCAGCAAGCACAGAATAAATATTGCAGCATGGGCAGCAAGCACGCCAGTTTTATATCTGTAGTTTATTACATGCGTGTGTGTAAGGTGTATATAAAACCATTGCAGCAGAGAATGAACGACAACCAAGAAAATATTAAACTCACAATTTATTAGAAACGCTGGATTAGACCAGCCCAAACCAATTTCCAATCGAATAAAAAATGGGTAAAAATCGCTGAAATCGAAAACCAAACGGCATCAGACATGCAAAAAAACTATGCGAGCAACCAGGTAGAAATTAAGAACTTTGATGAGTAATCAAAGAACAACATCGCTAGAAACCGACGAATCAGCAGAACGACAGAAAACAAAATCACATACGAAGAAAAACGGAGGGCGAAAAACCAACGAAGTCGAGGTATCCCAGAGAAGAAAGTGAAAAAGCAAAGAAAGATCTAGAATAACTGTCATTCACTGTGCAAAACACACACGATGACGGACTGGTGGAACGAAAGGGCATAACTGTCATTTCCTGTGCAACACAGATAGAAAGAGAAGCGGTCAAAAAATTTGGAGGGCATTTTTGACATTTTACTTTTAATAAACAGTAACATTTAGTTTGGGTTTTAGTATATATAAACTAAAATTTGTACCCGTGTGTTACTGTAGGATTGAAAACTATTTGAATGATTATGCAATTTCAATCAGAAAGTGTTATTGGCATTCCAAAAATCTTATTCAACACTCCTCACAACTGTATTTTTCTTTCCTAATATAGAAAGTTTGAAGTGTAGGATGAGATTTTTGAAGTGCTAATAACAATTCCCTTTCAATCTTCATAAACAATGTTTGAGTCAAAAACTGAGTTACCAATGCCAATGCAAATTATACACAACCTCATCCTGAATGAATTTAAATATCAAAAGAGAAACCTATTTCGTGTATTAAAAATGTTGTTTATTGCAACACTAAAAGTTGTCCTCTCCTATGTTGGTCATTAAAGAAGCATCCCAAGCAAGGGAAAAAAAATTGAAATAAATTTATAGATAGTAGAATTATATCATGAACAAACTAAGGATAATAGGTGTTTACCTAGTGTTTTTGTGTGCAAAAAGAAGTCTGATTTTGAAAGAAATGGAGATGACCTTCTCTGGCAATTCTATTGGACGCAATCAAACTTTTGTGCGTTTCCAACTTGCATTGCAACCAAGTTTCTACAAAAACAGATCGAATTCAAGAAAGTAATTAGACCAAGGCATAAGAGATTATAAGAAAAAAATATAGAAAATATAAACCACATATACCACTTATTATACGACTTTGTATTCCGAATACACCTAAAAATATTTTGGTTTCTTTCAAACCCTTCAACTTATCCTTGACATTTTTTTTAACGGCATCATAATTAAGAGTTAGCTAATAATAAATATACAAATCTGTTAACCTTTAGTTGACCCTCGACATGTGCTCGGAATAGGGCTCTTTCAACATCCTGAAATCATGTCAAGTGCTAAAAAGGAGCAAGAAAAAACTAATGTAAGAGGTTTGTAAAATTGAGGCAGAGCATATTACCTTATAGGGCCTCTTTAGAATCAGGTGGACCAAGTTCTATTGCCATGGTTTCATCATCCAATTTGTCAACCATCTGAAAAATGAAGAGAGAGTATCTACATATGTAAAATTTGAAAAGTAATAGCAAAAAATGAGTCAGTTGTTCTAGCTAAGACAACATACATAGCTGCATATACTTCACAACTTCTGAGACAGAATAGTGTAATAAAGAATTTCCACCAAGTTCATTTTCAGAGATCCAGCAGTCCCTCTCAAAAATCTCACTTCAATGAAAAGGAAGTTAGGCCACACTATAAAATGCACTACTCCAGCTTTTTTCAAAAATGATATTCTAAAAAGTTAAATGGTTGAAGAACCTAAGAAGAAGATAATATATAAATTTATATTAAATTGTAATATTAAATCTACATATACTAAAGTAAAGTTATCGTAAATGCCCAAAAATAAATCTAAACGAAAACTTGAAACTAAAAACCAGATAGTTATCAGACAGCTCCTAAAGGATTACACATTCTGGATTTATTAAATGGAGTTTTTCAAGACCTTCAACTAAGTGAAACTAATATACAAACACTAAAGAATAATATCGCATAGCCTTACCTCAATCTTCTCAAAATTGATCATGACACACCCTTTTGTACCACATGGAATATCTCTTACCTACAATGTTGCTAACAGAAGCTTTCAAAACTATAATGAATGGAAAGACATAATCCTCAATCTTCCAAACATGGATTACCAAAATTACCTGATTAGTCTGCAGGGTCACTTGAATGGGTTCAAAATGGGTGACCAGAGGCAGCTGGAGATGAAAACCTGAAATTTGAAATAATGAGAAGCAGGCAAAGTTAAGGCCTTATGCAAGCAACTTCTCAATGCACATAACCTAGATCTGTAATTGTCTTCAGAAGAGTGCATCCTCTCCAATATACCCCAACATGACCTTTTGGGACTTGGTGCATAATTGATATAGTTGATGATGTTGGAAAAACCGTCTGTAAACATCAAGACGTCCCAGTTTTAAGAATGTAGCATACTAATCAAAGTTCCCCAACTAGCATACATAGTATTTAGAAAAAAATACAATCCAAGTCTATTGCAACTATCATTACAGAAAACAAAAATTTCCAAGAAAACCCTTCAATTCGATGTGTTATTGGGAAATTGCATGACTCTAATTCTCAATCAACTAATACAAATATTATATACAGGATTAATTAAGTCACCAGATGCATTTTATTGCACATGATCATGCTTAGCAAACATATGATCATTAATGACATGACAAAAGAAGAATGCATTACGAAATTGTAAAAAATCGAAAATTAATACTTTAACACAAATATATGCATTTAGTGGAAATCAAGAACAGATACATGATACTCAAAATAGAGGAATTACTTACCATAATAAAACCTAAAAGTGAAACAAATTGACAAACAACTGAGTTAGTATTGCATATCAAGTGATGGATTAAGCTCGAAGATAAAATGCTATAAGCAATACTTGCTATTTGTATTAGTTGTAAATTTGAGGCCTTTCACTTCAGATCGTCACCCCAAAGCAACAGCAAGGAAGTTGTATGCAAAGATAACAGCTGCTTTAGAATACCCATTTCAGAAAAAATTCAATCAGAGGCCATAGAGATTCAGCGGAACAGAGAGAAAAAGATAATCCTAAACAACATTCTAGAGAGAGAAGAGTTACCTTCAATTCTTAGCCAATTAAAGAAATTTCTTTGAATCAGGAGAACCGGGAATGGATTCACGTTTTGCTTCCTGGAAAACTGTCGAGAGAGAATTGGGGCTGGGTTGGAAGAACGTATTGGAAGCAAAAGGAAGAGCCCAGTTTTGCTTAACTAAGAAACCTAATCCAGTCCTTGATCAGAACACATAGCATAGGCTAATAAAATATCTCACCAAAGCACAAAACGCAAAACAATCGAACGGAAATTAGTGGAGAAAGAGTGAAAAGCAAAAGAAGCAAAAAGAGTGAAAAGCAAAGGGAAGAAGCTAGAAGACGTAACGATGGTCAACATGTGGAGCGGAAGGGCATGACCGCATTTTCACTGTAGAAAAGCTGAAATAAAGCACAGCCAGATTAAAATTTGGAGGGCATTTTCGCCACTCCACTGTCCACAAACAGTAACCGGGAGTTTTGAGTTCTGGCATAAATAAATGTGTTAGAATAGGTATTTAAACTAAAAAAACCAAAAAAAAAGCATTCAAATATGAGATCATTTAGTCATCAAACTATATAAAAACAAATACACATATTCAATACAAGCATTATGAACCGTCTATCTATTTGTTACATTCGATTGACTAAATGATCTTAATTTTGATATTTTGTAGAGATAATCTATATAAATTGATTTATAATATAAATGATTTCGATTATACACAAAAAATTTTGTGAACAGTCATGAAGTAAATTGAGAGTAACTCCTCCTCAATCTTAAAGAACTCATCCACTGACTAGGCTTCCACGCCATATCTTAATGTGATGACTCATTATATACATATATATGTTCAATACCTAATTTACCCTTTATTATTATAATTATTTGTTTACAACAATATATTAGAGGGAAAGAATAAATTGATTTCAAACTCGTATTCGAACTGCAAGTCAGCCATTTTGATGATGGAAGTTTTAACAAAATACTTATGGTACTGTTTACTTTAACGAAAAACCACATTTTTACTCTAAAAAATCACTTATGGTACTATTCACTTACAACATCTTTTTATCATTTTCGTTAAAATTCATAGTTTTCAAATCATTTTTATTAGTTGTCCTTTTCGTTATATACGATTGAACTGGTTTGAGAGAAAGAGAGAGAGAAACTGGGAAGAGACAAGAAACTGATTTTTCATATACCATGGTCTCCATGGTAAGGTTCTCTCACATCACCAACTAGCCTTCTAAATAAAAGTAATAAAAAACATAAGTACGTACATTATGTGCATAGAAATCATGAAAACTGGCATTCTTTGCTTCACGAAAAGAAAAGTTTAAGGGTAAATAGCTTTACGCATCTTACAGGAAGGAGCTCAGGTCTGAAAGTAGCCATTTTTTGTCTTCTTGCATGCGTGATGCGTCTAAAGAGAAACAAAATAGCGGGGGTGCTATTCACACACTTATTTTTATCTCTTACACACACCTCTCAATTTTTTGTCGTTGATGTTAAGCAATGTTCTAAAAAAAGGGCCTAGGCGCTAGGCAGTGGTGACTCGAAATGTTTTCTTGCAAATCAGTTGGGCTCTAGGCGGGTAAAGCGGTCCTAGGCGGGCTAGGTGGCTAGGAATTTTTTTTTTTTTGAAATTAGAAAGAAAAAAAAAATCTTATCTACATTACTATATTTCCTTATTTTCCTCATAGTTTGCATTTTGTATGGTTTAAAATTGGGAACTTATTGTATATGTGTCATCCTATAATACTCCTCATTATGGTTCTATGACATATATGTTTAATGTGTTTTTAAATTTTGGACTTGTTGGATACTCTTTTTGCATTTATTATTCTTTTATTACCTTATCCATGGATTTCATACAAGTTTAATTTTTTGTAAGTGTCAATATGCACTTATTTACAAGATATACAAGAAATTTACCTAAATCCGCCTAGACCGCCCAGGCGTCCCCCTAGACCCTGCCTAGGCGCTAAGCGCCAGCCCGTTGCCCTACTAACGCCTAGTATTTTTTAGAACCTTGATGTTAAGCATACAAGCTAATAATGCAGAAATGTAATGTAAATCAAGAACAGAGTTTTAGAGAAAGAAAGAAAGAAAGAGAGATTGAATCAAGAAAGAGAAAGCTGTATATTTCGCTTAAATGAAGAAGGAGATACTATTTGTTCACTTTACACGAAGATAGCTCTCAACGGACTCCGCTATTCTAGCTACCTTCATAACAACCACTGCTATCTGTTTATACGAGACTAACAGACAATCCTAACAGCTAGTGACACTTATCTCAATCTTATATCTTTAACAGTCGAATCGAATGAATTGAAAAAAAAAATCAAAATATGAATCAACATAAAGTGTGTGGAAGATAAGAATAATTGTATGAATAGCACCAAAGAAATAAGCATGTGTGGATAGCACCACTCATATACGAAATAGACACCAACCGATCAATGGAGTTATTTTGCGGAGGTTTAGTTTCATGTTTTAATCTCTGGAGCTTTTCATATGAGAAAACACATTTTTGTTTGGAAGCCCAATCCCGGTGATTAAGACTAGCTCTAATCTACATTAGTCATAACCAAGATCCCAATGCAAAAGCCATGTCCAAAAATTACATATTTTATATTTTCACAAAAATTGTGAATAATTCGTGATTTTTAAATGAAGCAAAGTTGTAATAACCGTCATAACCAAGAGCCCTATCCTTTTTTATTTTCTAGTGAAAACAAATGTGCAGTGAATGCATATTTTGTGTTTTACATTAAACTATTTGAGTGGTAACTCATGGTTTTCAATTGGTTTTCTAAAAATCTTCTTGCTACAAGCTTTTTAAAAATTCACGTTAGACATTTGGAAGATGGTTTACCCCTCGAAAAGCTGATATATGGGTCTTGTTAATGTTATTTTATTCAATTGTTATTCTTTGTAGCTTACAAAACTAAAACAAACACTAATTAACGATTTTGTGAAATCGCAAATTTCACAAAAATCATGAGTTGTAACTTAGATTTTCGCCACACCATAAACTATCTCGTGTCATTTTCGCCACACCTTAAACTTTTGAAATTTCATGCAAAACATCCAAATATGTTCAAGACCCCAATATATTATGGGAAAGAGGATTCTCTCCCTCCTAATCTCTCTCCATTTTCCTTTCCTCTTACTTGAACGGTTACGATTAAGTCACGTCAACATCTTATATTGATTTTTTAATAAAGACAATAAGATAAAAAGCAAAATGCAAGGGTTTCCCGACAAGGTGGGCCCCACTGTTAGGCCGTGTGTCGGCCACCCAATTATTCCCAACGGCTATAATTCACATCCAAGGGTTGGGCTTTAAGGGCCGTTGGTCCAAATTCAAATTTCATTTTTTTAGAATATGTTATTTTAAAATACATTGAATTCAACGGCTGAGATCGAATATAATCAAATGTAACAGTAAAAAAAAGATCTAACGGCCCAAATTTAAATACAACGGCTAAAATAATTAAAAAAAAATATTTAACTCAAAATTCACCCTAAAACTCTATAAATACCTATGTATTTGTTCAAACATCCACATAAAACTCAATTTTCTCCTACAATTTTTCCAATTTATCTTTCTACCATTTCTTTCCATTTCCAAATTGTTCAACATGGCAAGAGAGCATATTAGAGGTCGTAATTGGACATGTGAGGAGGATGTTGAATGGTTGGTGAAAGTTGAAAGTTTGGTGTTAAACGGTTGGTGAATTGAAAATTTGGTGTTGAACAGTTAGTGAATTGAAAGTTAGCCCAGAGTTGAAAGATTGGTGAAAGTTGAAGGCTTGATTTGTGGAAAATTTAGTGATTTTTCAATATTTATTGGAATTTAAATATTTTTAGATTAAAATGTTCATAAAATTAATTTACGATAGTCTACATATTTATTTAAAAAAATATTAATTTAAGAAAAGAAATAGCCTAAGCTTATTCTTTAATAATTCCGGGCTAAAATTTTAGACCAAAAGGGTTGGAGTAAAAAAGTGTTTCTAGGCTAAAAGCTAAATTTTCTAGACTAAAAAATTAGCTTTTAGTCCAACAGTTGGAGGTGATTTAAAAGGAGGGAGTGATGGAGAAGGGTGGCAAATGAGAGGGAATTTAAAGCTTTGGGTTTTCCACTTAATCCACATTTAAAATGACAAAAGCACCCCTGTTTTAATTTGTGATAAACTGGTTTATTAGTCTCTAACTTTTTTATGCTTTTTTAGCTTGTCAATAAGAGATCCACCTGATGAGTGATAATAAAGCAGTCAATGAAAAGAGTGCTCAGTTGAAAGAAGCCTGCGAGAAAGTCGTCTTTCATTCTTTCTTATAAAGTAGAACATAACCGTATATAATACATTATATCAAGGGCATTGTAGTCATTACAAGTGAGAGCGACAAGTTATCCATGTTAATGTCTGTTTGGCACTTTGGCTATCCAAAAGCAAGGGACAGATCATTGAGAACTTCCGTAGCATTTTGGGTTCACATGTTTTGGTCATTTTCTTCTTCTTGCACGAAACTACGAAATTTCTTCGTGACCTATTGACTATTTTGGTATGTATATGTACATATATACTCTACAGCCTACAGAAAACTTGAGGTAGAGAAGGGGGAAAAAAACCCCTAGCAGATTATCCACGTACTTAAGCATTTTTTATTTCTTTTATTACAAGCGATATTTTATACTCATCAACACTAAAAAAACGAGAGAGGGTTTAAACTTGATACATAATGAGTTAAAGAAGAATACCATAACCACAGACAATCCACACCTTGCATTAAGCAAAATTTAAGTCTAAATAAAAGTAGTAAGAAAAATAAGTACGTACTTTATGTTGGAGAACAATTCAGAAATAAACAAAAAATAACAGAAATAAATAAAACTTGAAATTCTAATATTTTATTAATAAAAAATACTTGATCTGTAGAATGAAATTATACAATAAATACAGAAACTAATATAAGAATATCAATGATACTAACTTGATCATAGAAGGTAGAGGCTAGTGTAAATGCTATGTTCTTCGAACAGTATTTTCGTCCTGCTCTTGTGCTTGTGGTTCTACAACGTCTGCTCGACCAAGATTCAACTACTTAATTCTACAACCCGCACTGGATTCTAGAATTCTAGCAAATTTGCTTTCTGTGTTTACTCTCTAGAAATTTCGTACGGAAGAAAAAGAGGAAGAAAAGATGATACAACTCTTTCTAATAGCTGTGTCTTTTAATCAAAACTTATACAAGCCTAATTGTATTTAGGCTATATTATATTCAAGCCTAATCCACATAACCATAAGGTCCAAGCCTTCAATCTATTTCAAATGATCCAAGTTCTAATTACTAA